AGACTAAGAGACTCCTACAGATTTAAGTCTCCGCAACCTCTTGTTAATTAAGCAATATTACTACTTATGCACGGCTTTATTCAGTTTCTAACTAGACATTAAATTAAGGTAAGTATTTGCGCAGTCTACCTCAAGCCAGAGCATACCACCACCAAGTAATTGTGGAATGGGTGTAGGTAACATACCCAAGAACTACCGAGATACTGTCAAACTAGAAACAAAGCAGGCTTAGGAGAGTGAGCTAAATTCATTCTGTGAAAACAGATCAAAGCTCACTAGGGGACTGGTACCCTCCCCGGATACTATCCAGATTCTGAAACTGTTCTTTGCTACCTTATCTGCCACCCGAGTGTCCCCCTCACTGTGTGCTCTGTGTCTGTGTACACTAGACTATTTGGGTGAAATGTATACCTTCTCACACAGTCCCAAGGGCTGGGTAAATCAGATTAACTACAACTAATGAAATAAAGGCCTTGCCCTCAAGGAGCTGACATTCTGGTGGGAGAATAAATCCAAATGTAAGTAATTATAACACAATGTGGCAAGAGCTATGTAGGAGCATAGGAAATATTATGAGACAGACCAAGAAGTGATGGATTCTGCCTCCTCCTCAAAGACAGCTTGGAGGAGAGGCTGTGTATCAGCTGGGGCGGAGGGGTGAGGGGGAGCCACCTGGATGTCAGGAGTGGGCTAATGCTCCCTCCAGAGCAGCGATTTTATCCGCTGTGCCGAGGCATGCTGGTGTGCCGTGAGAATTTTAAAAACATGGAAAACCTGACTATTTAGTCATGGGCACTGACCTCTTTCCCCTTAGATGGTCAAATAAGAAAATGACAATAGCCATCCAGTGTGAATCAAAACTATACTTTTTTTTAAATCATATTGGCAAAAATATATTTGTGGCGTGCTACGGAACTTTAATAATCACTTTATGTGTGCCCCGAGATGAGAAAGGTTGACAATCTCCGCTCTAGAAGCGGGTGGCTCACTCCTACCAGAGCAGAGGCTCTGTTTGGGGCACCGAGCAGCCTGGAGATGAAGACAGGAACAAATCTGCAATGGGTGAGGCAAGGAGGCCCATGAAAAGGGCAGGTGCCACACCAGGCCAGGTGGGAGATGGTAAAGGTGGAGGGGAAGAGATGGGTAAGAGCCGCTTTGGGACCTTCTGACCAGCCCAGGCCATGCCAGCCCACAGATCTCAGCCAGGCCGACTCCTCCTAGTAATCCTCTCCACTCTGGCCTGCTCAGGGTTTGCAGTCCTTGTGTTTAACAGCAACTGATTAACTCTCCACCACAGGTGATTGGTCACACAACAAGGAAGCAGACTTTGTGTCCAATAGAGCAGGCTCCTCCCAGCATGCTCTGCACTTGGTGCACATGTGTGCACACACACTTAGAGCATCCTTTCTAGGAGAGAAGTCATCTTTCCTTTTTACGGTCCTTTGGCTTTTGTTTGTATCAGCATTTGAGGTTTACCTTTTGTTTCATGTCAAGGAAACACCAATTACTTAGTATGGTGTCCTCACATTAAGGGTTTGAGGAGGGAGTAGGGGCAAGGTGTGGCACAGCTTCTTAACTGAAGGGAGAAGGCATTCTAAAAGAGAGGGTTAAGAGCTTAATTAGCTCATTTGTTAAGTGATGTTAGTTATCTAAAAACTAGAGGCCTGGTGCACAAATTTGTGTAGAGGAGGGGTCACTTGGCCTGGCCAGCAAACAAGGGTAATGGGGGCCAGCTGGCCATGGGGAGGGACCACAGGAGGTTGGCTGTGGGAGCGCACTGAGCACTAGGGAACAGTTCCTGCATTGAGCATCTGCCCCCTGGTGGTCAATGCATATCATAGCCATTGGTTGACCAGTTGTTTGGTCAACCAGTCGTAATGGTCACTTAGGCTTTTATATATATAGATATCAAAGGGAAATAAAAGGAACAAAAGCGATTTTACCTTCCTGAATAATGATTTCATTTTTGCTCATAATTAAATGTATTGCCTTCCATTATGATGGTATGGCATTATAGACAATTTTAGAAATAGAGAATATACTAAAAGCACAAGGAAGGAAAAGGACCAATTACCCATAATTCTATATGTCAGTTAATAATGCCTTTTTTCCTTTTTGACATAAAAAAGTTGTGGTGTAATCATACTGTACATACTCTTTTTTGTCCTTTTTTAAATGCAACTGTCTCAGTTATGGCAAAAATATATTAAAATGAGTGTTGAAAAATTATGATACTGGCTGTTCAAATTGATGGATAGTGAATTGTACATTTCACATAGGCGAGTTATATGGCATGTGAACTACATAAAAAAAAAATTGCTCAGAAACTTTATTTTCCAGTCTCTGTAACATTCTGCAGACATTCTCTGTCATGTAGCATGAGTTACCACCATTTACTAAGGCACCTCCCAGCTAGAAGCTATCTGGGTTTTTCACATGATTGGTAGGTATACTGAGCTCTGTATGCATATCATAGTCTTCCTTCTCAATAGTTTCCTAGAAGGATTTAAGATTTTAAACATACTGACAATCCAGAAATTATTTTAAGGGACCAACTGACAACTCAAGAAAAATCTAATTACTCTGTAAAATCATTAGGCACCAATGACTAGCTCCTAAAAGATCTCATTGGGCTATAAGTCTCAAAGAGAACAAGAGAGGAACCTAAAGCAGGACCACAAACATGGCAGGAGTCTGATGACAACAGAATCCCGTGTTCTGTGGCTGACATTCCCTCAGAAAGGAAAAGAGTCCAGTCCTGGCAGGTTGGTGTCCCGTCAGGATGCTCAGACACACAGCCTGGGGCTGGCCAGAACTCTGTTCAAACCCGTTTGAACCAAGGCCAAGAGACCTAGAGCATGTTAATCCTCAATGTCCCCCACGGAGTGGGAGGATGGCGCACAGTGTCAGAGGGTGAGTCTGAAGTCCACCTAACATGAGCGTTCTGAATGTGCTTGGTGCATTGCCTGCTCATAAGGAGCACCAATAAATTCAATAAAGAGCTGTAACCGGAGGATGGTGATGTCAGCAGCTTGTGACCAAATGAGAAGGCAGGAATCCAAAGCTCAGCCTTGCAGACATTTCTGCTTAGAAACTACAGGCTTTTTCTATGGACTCAGAAAGGGCCTGAAGGTATTTTTATTGCCATGGGAGTTTCAGCCAATACCAGAGCTCCTTTGCGCAATCTTTACATTCCAGTGTGCTAAAAGCTTTCCCATGCAGGGATAAAAGCCTTCTTTGTCTCCAGCTGGTGAAAGGCACCATCTTCGTCAGATGAGTTTAACTGTGGAACCTTGAGTGTGTTCCCACAAGATGGCATGACGGGGAGCCCCAGGAATGTAGACTCACCCAAATACTAACAAGACAGGTGGAGTTTTAGGAAAGTGGAATATGTGTGTGTGTGTGTGTGTGTGTGTGTGTGTGTGTGTGTGTGTGTGTGTGTTTTAAGGGAAACTATTTTGAGCAATGTGAAAATGCCTGGCACTAAGCAAAGATGGTAAGTGGTACTTCACAATAACCCTGTGAGGTGGAAGCTTTGATGAGCCCTACTTACTAGTAAAAAAAAAACAAAAACTGAGGCTTAAGGAAGTTAGATAATTTTCCAGTCACATAGCTAGTGAATTAGTGGCAGAGCCGAGATCTGAACTCATGATCGCACACACTCATCCACTACGCTCCCCAGAGGAGTACTGGCTGGAATGAGATAAGCCCTGCAGATTTTATTTTCTCATTAGTGACTTTCTGACTTCCCAACCTGGCCTTTGACAAGTATGGTCATTTACAAACACCAAAAAAAGAAGACTCTTTAAAGGTCAAATCTGGATGCTTCCTTGTTCTCCCTTCCGTGATCCAGGCAGCCCTTCTGGGAAGTGCCTGGGCGTCCCCCTGGAACGCACGCCAGGCTGCTCTGAGGCAGGTGAAACAAAGCCCCAGGTCCTGTGAACAGGGGTCCTGAGAACCTCTCATCTGCCAATAGCCATTGGGATATTTATGACATCATTCTTGGGCCATCCAAAATTATCCACGTACCATTAGCCTGCTACCATGGGTCAAACATTTAATTAAGGCACTGGAAGGGCCAGACCCGATGATGTTGCAAGCCTTATAGGAGCCTTAGGCTGGATGTTCCCCACCCCTGTTTTAGAACCACAGCACGTAAAAGGTTCCCCTCAGCAAAGAGGAAGTCCAGAAGGGGAAACGAGTGGTGAAATCACAGCATCACCACAGTTCCCGGGATTCCCGGGATGGGGAAACCCCAAAGACCCAGGCTTCATTAACATGAGCCCAAAAATGGGAACATTTACTCTCATGGACACAGAGAACAGCGTGATGACGACTTGGAACACGCTCTTGCTCAATTCTACCCAGTCCAGGGCTTTGTCTGCGGGAGTTAGATAGCGAGGCTTTTAGCCTCCTGTTCCTCTTACTCATCCTGGAACTCGAGGAAACATTCTCATTCCAACAATTCTTCCAATTCCAGCTCCAGGCCTAAGGAGTGGCGTAACTTGTAGAGTCACAAAAAGAAAAAAGTGTGAATTTTTCTCTCCTTAGATCAATCTAAGAGCAAGGCAGTAAGATTTCCCCAGCGTTTTTTTCCCCCCAACAAACGTAATGGAATTCAAGGGGAATCGGGACAAAAAGAAAGGCCCTCAGGGATCACATGACCGAATTCTTTCTTGACCAGAGAGGCACTACACCTCAGAGAGAGGGGCTGGGCCCAGAGTACACACCCGGGGAACCGGTCCTGAGCCTATTGCCACGTTGCTATGCTGTTTGGTTAAACTATGTTCTCACGTTTAAGATCTTCTCTCCAAACTGAGTAGGGAAGAGGCGGAAAAGGAGGGAGAGATGAGAACAAGCAGGTGTGGGGTAAGGTAAGGTTGAATCGGCTCCTTTAAAACAATTTCAAATGCCCATGTGTGCAGATTCCAGGCAGAATGAAGAGAACTACAAATGCCTCTGCCAGAGCCTGGCAAGAGGCGGGCAAATGCACTGCCTACCTTTGGTCTTGATGGCCGTTTCGATGTTCAAAGCATCCCGGTCAGCATCGAAGTTGGGGTAGGCCTTGACCGACCCGTACGCACTTACGGGTGTGGAGTGCTAAGGGCAAAAGGCAAACATACAATCACATCATGCACACTGAAGATCCCTTTGTTAAAACATCGGTTTCTACAATCGATTTAGTTTTTCTATTGTTTCTTTTAACAATTCAATTCATTCTTAGACTAGGGAACGAGTGAAGTATGAACAAGCTACCAAATATAAGATAAGGAACCACACTGTTTCTAGTGAGAATTCTTCCTCAAAGGCCCGGTGCGTTTAGAATGTGCTGTTTATATGTTTACGCTCAAAAGCAGGCAACACAAGGCTGAGCATTGGAAACGACCTGTGGACTTGGGAAGGTCTGAAAGAGCATCCACATTAGGCTGGCAACAATTCAAAACAAGCTTGAGAATGTGAAAATGTCTGAAATGCAAGTGTGTTCTGCCGAGTTTTTGTTACAGGCTCACGAATCTCCACTTGGGCCTGCTGACTGAGCTCATGATTCATTTCGAAGTCAATGTAAAACGCCGGCCTCCTGCTCGCCTCTTAAAGTGAGGAAGCTCCCTCGATTGGGCCACCGCTGTGACACCAAGGTGGTCAGGCCACGTGGCTACATCCTCCTTCCTGTGGGCCAAGTTCCTCCTGCTCTTCTCTTTCCTCTCTGTCCCCTCCCTCTGCGGTGTTATAACCATCTCCCCCTGCTTACCACTCAACCCACTCAACTAGTATTTTTTTTCTTATTGCCTTTTTATTTAAACAGTGATCTTCTTTTAAATTTTATTTTTATTGATTTCAGGGAGAGAGGAAAAGAAAGGAGGAGAGAGAAAGAGAGAGAGAGAGAGAGAGAGAGAGAGAGAGAGAGAGAGAGAGAGAGAGAGAGAGAGAAACATCAATGATGAAAGAGAATCATTGATCAGCTGCTTCCTGCATAACCCCTTACTGGGGATCAAGCCCAAAACCTGGGCATGTGCCCTGACTGGGAATTGAACGTGACCTCCTGGTTCATAGATCAATGACACTCAATCACTGAGCTACGTGGGGTAATGGGCTTTGAAAAACATTTCACAGGAAGAGTGCATGGTCGCAGTGTTTTTCAAAGCCCATTGCCCTTCCTGATGGGATGGGCCAACCCCACCGACCTGAGACTGAGGTGAGGGCAACAGCCTGCTCCTTCCCCCAGGGTCAGCCCCCTCCCCTTGATGTTCCTGCAGCTCTCCTGCTCCCTGCTCCCTCCCCCAGCACAAAGGACAGACAAGAGGACAGACAATATGGTTTTGGTTGGCTGATGGCCTGTCCAGCCACCCACAACTGTCCCACTTCCAATGCCAGGGTTCCCCATCCTGAACCACCCCCGCCTCCCTCAGCACATAAAACCCATCATAATAATGCACTTTGTGTTGGCTCGGTTCCTGGAAAGAGGCAGAGACTAAGGCGCCCTGACTGACCTCTCCACCTACAGACATTACGTTATGGGCACCTGCTCCCTCTCCCACCACTTGGTGTGTTAGAGGGGAGCTTACATAGGTAAGCAACTAACAGCCCATCCTCTTGAATATGTGTCCCAGGACAAGCCAGAAATCTAAGTCCAGAATTGGACAAAACCTCTCACAGTGCACTTGCAACTCTCCTGGCCGAGTCAGGCCAGTTCACATGTATAATTCTGGAACACAACGAACTATTCAGGGGTTTTCCACCCCATTTCACGCCTTGAACTTTCCAGTAAGATGGACACAATGAAAACCGAGCACACACTCAGGGCAAGGTAAGAACAAAGTGCTCTTTTGAAAAGCCATCTCCCATGGTGGCTGCAAAACGTGGGTGGAAATCTACGGAAAAACATCTTCCTGTGGAATGGCAGGGTCATCCATGATTTACAAAGGCAGATGGTCTGGTCACTGAGCCCCATCATGAGTGGCTTCTTTTACAAAGTGCTCTGCCATCCTACTCCCAAACATGAGAAGGGCAAAGTTTGGCATAACTTTATAGTATCCACAGAAGCAAAATTAAATGGATAACTGAACCTGTTACCTGTAAAATCCACTCATCTGAAAATCAAATTATTGAGGCAAAAGTGATCCTCCCTCAAAACGCTAGAGAAACACGACATTTTCTACTGCAGGCCCATCTCCCCAGACGGAGAAACGCATCACTCTGGAGTGCAGTGACCTCAGAGGCTGCTCGAAAAGCCCTGCCAGGAAGCCTGCGTCTGAAGATGATCTAACAATCGGGTCCATTAAAGAGAGAAATCTCTCAGCTCCTGGACCTCAGCGTGCAGCTTGTACTGTTGCCAACAGCAGTGGGCACCAGTTGCAAAAGGGAAGGTTAGAAGTACATATAGGCTCTCCACACCATAACACCTGTGCTTCCATGGACACTGTCCATCTGGACATTTTGATGGACAGCACCACGGACAATAGAGGGTTCTGTGCCCACATGCTCTGGGCTGCAGTTGACCCACGTCGAGCGCTTCTGGGTGTTTTAATTTGATTGAGAGCATGTCATGAAAATTTTCCAAGGCATGCCGGCAAACCAGTGTCACTCACTGCTGAGTTTTTGTAAAAGCCGTTTCAGGCAAGATGACCTAAAAGATGTCTGATGTTCTTAGATACGTTACATTGTAATAATTCATATTCTAACTTGACCCTAAAAGTGTTTGCAATGATATAATCTCACATGGAGTGGAACAAATTTTAACTATAAAACAGAAGCAAATGCACCAGATTTATAGATTCACATATTTCCTGGGAAAGACAATGAAAAATAATTCTTTGTTCCCGGATAGCCAAAGCAAAAAAGGAAACATGATGAGTCACAGTGCTTTCATTAATTCATTTTCTTTAAAAAAAGAACAAACATCCTAGCTTTTTAGGAAAAAAGCTTTCCTGGGTACTAAAATAAATTTTTTAAAGGTATAAGTTCTTGTGTGGAAAAACTTCCTGGACACTAACAAGTCCCAAGCTCTCAGGATCTTTTTTGTTGTTGTTAATCCTCACCCGAGGATATTTTTTACAGTGATTTTTAGAAAGAGTGGGAGGAAGGCTTAGGAAGAGAGAAAGAGAGAGAGAAACACTGACGAGAGAGGGAGGGAGGGAGGGAGGGAGGGAGGGAGAGAGAGAGAGAGAGAGAGAGAGAGAGAGAGAGAGAGACAGACATTGACATGAGAGAGACACATCGATTGGTCGCCTCCCTCACTGAGAAGCAACCAATGGATTGGGGGAGAACAGAGAACCAAGAGGGGGAGTGATTGTCTGAACTTTGTCCCATTTTCTTAGCTGTATAAGGAAAGGGAATAGTATTGATACCATCCAGAGAGACGTACAATTTGCAAAAATGACACCAAGTGAAAGAGATATACTTACATCACCCTCCAAGCTGAGCTTGCACAGGATTTCATGAACAGTAGACATTTTGAAAGAAGCTGGGGAGAAAAAAAATTAAAAAATTAAAAAAAAAAATGTCTTTAGGAAGAGGCTTTCCTTTCCCCGGAGCACAGTATTCATTACACTAATCTCCACTTCTTGGACCATTTCATCTGAGGACATGAGAATAATTTTTACCAATACATGCAATTTCCACCTCATGATTGGGAAAAATGAGAGCTTGAGAAGGTTTGCTGAGGTTTGCGAGGGGCTGCCAAGCTGGCCAGGCTCCCCTTGCCCTTGTGTGAACAGACCCTGGGGAGACGGATTTGTGAACATGAAACCAAAATGCCCTCCTAGGCTCATGCAACTTGTCCCAACAGGTTAACACCGAGTCTCCCACTTCTCACACAAAGCGACAAGCTTGTCAAACCGGCCACCACTTCTGCTATTCTCGCCAGTAATCTGACCTATGCAAAGGGACCTGAAAACTACGGGTATGAACTGACATCAGTGGCATGTTTAGGCTGACCCCTTCCTAAAGGGAAGCCTTTACTACTCCCCTAATGACTTTCTTAGCTCACCGGAGCTTAGAAGATATCGAACTGTTAATGAGAAAGACAGTGGGTAGATTTTTCTGACATTATCTCATTCCATAAAGAGACTGATCCTTGTATTTAACATTCAAAATGGCTAAAATGAAGTCATCTTCCAGTTAATACAGTTAATGGCGCTGTGCCACTAGCGTCTGATGGATTGGCTTCCCAGCTCTGCAATCACACAGTTCTCGGAATCGATACGCCAACTCCTGCCAATAAAAAGTGCTAAGCGGGCATTAAATTTATCTTAACGGAGCCAAGGTAGCAGCATCCCCCAAATGAAGGAAATAGAGCAGAGCGGCATCCGAAATAGTGGGAATGACATTTGAATTGCAGTATCTCCTGCTCTGGTTTTTTTTCTTCTTCTTAATATTCTTGGACCAAGGAAATTGTGTCCATGCAAATTCAGCTTTCTATTCTCTTCCAACAGTTTGCTTAGTCTAAATATTTTCATAAAACCGGCTTGAGGGAGTATTGACATAGACACTTGCTAACTTATCAGAAGGCTTTGAAGTAGGCCGATTCCAGGCTCCATGTGGGGTGGAGGCGAGGGAATGTAAAAGAAGGGGATTCTCCATTATTTGCGATTATGGGTACATTTCTGCAAGGTTTTCTTTAAAAAAAAAAAAAAAAAAATATATATATATATATATATATATATATATATATATATATATATACACACACATACACACACACACACATTTTTTTAATTGATTCCAGAGAGGATGGGAGAGGGAAGAAGCGGTAAAAACACCAATGATGAGAGAGAATCATCGATCAGCTGCTTCCTACAGGCCCCACTCTGGGGATCAAGCCCAAAACCCAGGCACGTGCCCTGACCCAGAATTGAACCGTGACCTCCTGGTTCATAGGTCAACGCTGAGGAGAGATAGAAAGCAGGGATGTTTAAAAGCCCCACAAACTTCCTTCCTGTTTTACGGTGCACAAGCAGTGCTGCCCTTTCATCCCATCAGCCCTACGTGCTACTCCCCATTCGGTTCCTCTAGTTGATGGTGTTCAAAATCCACCCGTCAGTGGCTGCCTCTCACTCAGCTCAGTTCAGCCCTCCACAATTCACAGGGGTCCCTTTGGGGGCCACCGCAGCAGTGCCCGTGGAAAGATGACCGCTTCTCCTCTTTCCCAAGAGCTGAGAAGTACAATGCAGGCCCATCGAAAGGATGACGACTCTCAGGTTGTCCGAGGACATTACAAAGGGCAGCAAATTGGCAAAGTAGCGCGGGTTTACAGGAAGAAATCCGTCATCTACACTGAAGGAGTGCAGGGGAGGAAGCTAATGGTACCGCTGGGCATGGGGCGTTCACCCCAGCGAGGTGGCCATCGCTGCACTAAAGCGGGACAAAGACCACAAAAAGATCCTTGGACAGAAAGCCAGATCTCCCAAGTAGGAAAGGAAAGGGGCAAATGCAAGGAAAACACAACTGAGAAGATGCAGGGATAAAGTAATATTATATACAACGTTCATTAAAAACTTAAGGGAAAAAAAAAAAGATTGGCCTGGGAACCCCGCCTCTGTCCACTCCCCAGCAAAAGTGGACTTGCTTCTCACCAGACACACAGTGCTCAGTAACCCACAGCACCTCCAGGCCTGCTCCCCCACCTCCTTACCCTCAGCTGCTCCAGTTAGATTAGAGCGCCTGCCCACTCCTCAGGCCGCCACTGCTTTGGCATCTGCTCTAACGGGGCATCTGCAGCCCCCATCCTGCAGTGCCCTCTCCCTCCTGTCAGTGCCAGGAGCACTTACTGGTGCCGCTAGATTCATCCACTGACCACAGTGTCCTGAGTTCCTGCCACATACCAAGTATTCAAACAGCAAGTGCTGACCTCCAATTCAATGCAGCAGGCAATAAGCTGTACCTCATCTCCCCCGAAGTCTCGGTTTCCCCACAGATTTAAGGGTGTCTGTGCACATGCTCGGTGCTAAATAAACGTTCTGAAACAATGAGCTGCTGTCTTGCACAATTAATCATTTATATGTATATTATTTATAATCAGTCTGCAGAAAAAGCAAATATGTCAATAACCACAAAATAATATCCATGAAACTGGCTGTTACTCCATGCATGTCTTTCGTATCCATGTAACTACCTCCTATTTCCTGCAAGCTTAATGGCAGACTTTATCTTCACCGGAGAAATAAACTATGGTCCCTGTTTCTTGATTGCATCCAATTCCCCTGGCAAAGCCAAGTCATTCTGTGGATGACTGATTGGTCTCAAAGAGCTGGCTTTCCCACTCATGTTTGTTAAGACATTAGCTTAATATAGTATAGGTGATTAATGAGACCGTGTCAGGGCGCTGCTACTCTTGAAAGTGAAAAAAGAAAGCCTTGGCAGTGTTACTGTGGGTTACAAACACTGGTGACATTCACATAATCTATGAACAAACTCCTAACGAGTACACACTGGCCTGCAGGGCCTTAAGGCTGAGAGACACACAACTATGACATGCAGACCCCACCCTGCAGGGCTGTCCGCTCTCTTCCCTCCTCGCCCCAGGGAGACACCTGAGTGCTTAGCTCAGGTCACCTCACCACTGAGCAGGAGACAGGGCCAAGCCCAAGCTCTTCAGTCTTTGCCCTTTCAACTTCACCACAGCTGTTCTCCATGCTAAGGGAGGAAGACACCAAGAGAATGACAGAAACAATAGGAGCGAGGTCACCCGAGAGCCTCAAGGGTGAGCTCCTGGAAGATTCGAGCTGGAGAATGGTGGGAAAGCCTGGCAGGTGGACGGAGAATCCCCCTGGGTGTCCAGAGAACAAGAAGACAGGCTTACAACCAGCCATGGCTACTGTGGGGCCCTAAATACACATTTCTGAATGGTGCCCATGGAAGCTTGGGAATACTGGAGGGCCAGAAAGCCAACGAGATTCATTCCCAATAGGCATGGTCTCTGTGTACAGCATTTGCTCTGGAGGCTGACCTTTCTTTTCTTTTTCTTTTTTAATATATATTTTATTTATTTTTTACAGAGAGGAAGTCTAGAGTTAGAAACATCGATGAGAGAGAATCATCAATCAGCTGCCTCTTGCACATCCCCTACTGGGGATGTGCCTGCAACCAATGTACATGCCCTTGACTGGAATCGAACCTGGGACCTTTCAGTCCGCAGGGCAGGCCGGCGCTCTATCCACTGAGCCAAACCTGTTTCGGCAAGGCTGGACTTTCTTACTGAAAACAATAGCTCTGCCTTAGTGCACCTGTTGTTCTAAATGAGAATAAAAATCAAGCCTATGGGCCTCGAGGCGATTAACTTCCCTCCACCTCCCAAGCACAGTAAAATTCAGGGTGCACTGCGAGCAGAACCCCCTCTCTGCACACTGCTCTGCCTGGCAGGCCGCAGCTCTCCTCCCCACACGCCACCACACCTGCCTCCCCAACTGGTTTCAACTTGCAAAAAAGAAAAAAAAAAAAAAAAAAACCAGCACATTCAATCTGTTGGTGAGGATCTCTACATACTAGTACCTTCCATTCCCAGAGAAGGGCTGGGCTACCAGATAAGATCATTAATGCAGACCTTTATCAGGGAAAGTTTTTCCTTTAAGAAAATAGACTTGCTGAAGAGCCACACCCGCTTCAAACTGGTTTGGAATAATTTGCCACTGTGGTAAGAACAGACTCACTCAACTCCACCCTAAGGCAGGGAACAGAGCGGTCTCCTCTGCCTTTAAAACATCAATAAAGGAGGCCTCTTAATTGCCTAACTGAAGTAGCTCTTATTGGAGTGAAAAGCTAGACATTCAGGAAACACTGTCAAAAACCAAAATGATTTACAGTTAGCTTGGGGTCTAGCTTAAAGATGATTTAAAGAGTCTGTAAAAAGTCCTACGAATTGTTTTGTACATTATTGTTTCACTTCAAACACAGACTTAGAACCAAAAACAGTTACAAGGAAACGGCTTTCACTTCTCCCCAAAAAGAAAAGTAACACAGTTTGCAAACAAGTGGAAACAAACCAACAACAAAAAAAGAGTTAACACTTCAAATAGTAAAAGCAAGTTCTACTGGAATGAATTAAGAGTCAGCTCCAGAAATACCTCATATGAATTCCCACAAACAAACAAACAGACAAACAAAAACATGTTGCAACAGGGCTGGTCGGCAGAGCGCACCTGACAACCATCCAGCAGTTTCGCTGACACACCCACTTTGCAGTTTCACGGTGGAGTGTTGATGCGTCACCACAAAACACAACCCTAGCAACCATGCTGAATCAATCAGGGACTGGATGACACAAAAGAGGATTTCTAAACCAAAAAAATGCGCGGGGGTGGGGGAGTGGGAAGTAGAGGGTGGGGTATAGTGTGGAGGTTTGGGCTTCCCCACCAAAGCCCTTACTGTGCAAAATGCAGAGTCTAAAGGACCAGACAATGGATTTTAAAAGAAAAGGGGGGAACCCACTGGTGGGGGTGGGCAGGGAGTGCCCACCGTACCCCATTCTCCACCCCACTCCCTACCATTTATATTTAACAGAAACTTCCTGAAAGCACACACTTTTCTCCTTGGTTTTATGGTCCTGATTAAGCCTGAGTCACAGGGCCAACCCATTCCCCAGAAATCCTGGAATTCGGCCCTAAAGCCTTAATTGTACTGGGCGGGGAGGACACAACACCACTGCCTCTTGCTTATCCCTCCTGTTGCTGAATCTGAGTCAATATTTGTTTGCTAACCTACAGGCAGGTTGCAGCCTCGGCTCTCCGAGCTTCTCAGTCCTCGGCCTCCTGATAAGAGATGGAGTGGGTGGATAGAGACCAGCAGGAAGAATGAGGTCAGTTGGCAGGAAGCACTCTCAGAGCTCAGAAATCAAGGCCTTCACATTTCAGTGCTTCGTGGCCCTGCACGCAGTATTTCCAACGGGGCCTGCTGCCAACAGAAAGAGTCTAAACTCAGCCTCCAAGGTCTTCCACACTCTGGACTCTACTGACTGATTCATAAATATCTCTTACACACAAGCATACACTGGAGTGCATGCACATGCGCGCGCGTGCGCACTCACACACACACACACACCAGCATTGCAATCAAATGCCAATGGTATTGCTCTCCAAACACTCTTAGGGTTGTCCTGCTACTCTAGGCCCAGGTCCTCCAAGTTCCCTCCACTGTGCTCTCTCAATCAGGATCAGCTAACATCCTCCTAAGACCTCTGGACACAAAAAAATACTGTTACCTTTTCTCCTGCACCTCTCCCTGCTCTGGGCTGTGGCTGTCCGTGTGTCTGAAATTTCAGAGCTGAGTGTACATAGGCGAGCTTCCATTCCATCCGCCCACCCACAGGGTTTCTGTCTTACTCATGCATTTCCTCATGGGTCTAAGCACAGCCTAGCACATACTAGGCATTTAGCCACATTTTTGGAGGATTGACACACACCGGGTCTTTCCTTATTCTGGCCTTTTTTTTTTTTTCTTCCCTCTTCTTTTCCAATCTACCCACCCTCCTCAATTTTCTTTGTCTCCCACAGACTGAATATATCCAATGGAGTTCTAGTTCCACTCATTCAGACCAGGAGGCTTCCATTCCCAGCATCCAAGCAGGTCTTTGCCAAAGCCTGGCAACTTCTTCCTCTTCATCATATGCAGCCCAGTCCCAGCCCAGCTGGGCCCCCCACCTCTCCCAGCTCTGTCCAATGGACCCCGTGGGAATGGGACCCACATCTCAATGGCAGGAAAGGAGAAAGGAAGGAGGTGGGAAGAAGGGATTTGGAGAGGCCTTGGGCCTCTGATTTCCCCTGCACTGATGGTGTAGACTGGGTGTGGCAAGGAGACAAAGGGCAAGGATCCCAGTCACCGGAAGTCGGGACTTCCCACAGCAGCCTGGGATTAGCTACGTGGATGCTGTTGACCTCTCTGACAAGACTGAGCTCAGGTGGTTTAAAAGCTTCAGGTTGTACCCTGAAAAGGAGATTGGGAGGTAATCTCCCGGGAACCACCCAGCACAAGCCTGGGTACCTGCTGACTCCTCCTGCTGACCTGCTCCCCAACAAAGGAGATGGGGACTGCCTCTGGCAATAGGAGAAGGAAAAATAGAACAGACAGAGAATGGGCGGAAAGGATATTTTTTTTAAGTACTGGAATTTCCTCTGAGTTAGCCTAAAACTAGAATAGGGTGTGGCACCAGGGAAAATGAGGGTGGATTCCCAAATAAAAAAAAAAAAAAAAAGGCATTCTATTTCTATCAGAGCATTCCATTTCTATGAGATTCTCACAATCAAATGCGAGAGACTGGTGAAGCCCCAATATCTTTCAGAACAGTTTCCCTGAGGTTAAATGTGATGCAGATGGAATAAAGGGAAAAAGAGCCCAAGTCAACTTGGAAACTAACACATTTGGGGATACAGAACATTCAAAATCCGATAACCGCCTGTACAAGGCACTTACTTTGTCTGTTTCTCTGTCTGTGGTTCACTGCTGTATCCCCAGTGCCTGTAACTGTGAACAGAACAGAGCAGTGGTTAGTAAGTATTGTGAAACCAATGGATGTTTAAGGCAGCCCAGCAGAGCCCGGGGGTTTTTGGTGACACACCCATCCTCATTTAATGAAAAATGCCTCAGTAGGCCCAGAGCCTGCACAAGTAAAGGCCCAGGACAGCGTGTTAGTGCCCGCGCCTCGTGCCAATGGTGCAGGAAGAGCCTACAAACCTCAAGATCAATAGCAAGTACAAGAAGATATCTTATCTTGCCAGCAAAGCTACTTAAATTAGAAATTAGTCAGGAAACTAATGGCCAGGACTACTGGCCTGAAGTCAATCAATAAAGTAGTTTAATAGCTCAGACACAGGATCTTAAAGTCTGAGACGCCAACCCAAGATCAAAGCCAATGTCAGCAATATTTCCTGGGCACATACCCCAGGCAGGCCCCTTGGCACTGCAGGAAATTACAAAATCCAAGCGGTCTCCAAATCATAAACCCCCAACTGAAAAAATGCATATTGATGGTCACACCCTTCCACTGCGGATGGTTGCGGTGGATCCTTTTGGAGAAACCCGTGAAGCTTTTAGAGAGCAAAGGGTCTAAGGAGAGGGGAGGAAAGTGCTAAGCGGGAATGTCTTCACACCACTAGCCACAGAGGAGACCTGTCCCAACTTTCTCTCAACTAACATCTTTCCTCACAATGCCTGAACGTTATGTGGCTCCTTGATTCCGCAGCCTCCGCTTCTATGAATTACAGGTGTGTTTGGGTAACGAGGTTTTCTTGTCTTTCTTTTTTTTTTTTTCATAACACAACTCCCCTGGGTTGTTGGAGATTAGGACCACCAACCACTCCCAATCCTGAATACTAATGAATATTGATTCCATGTGCTTATCTCTACCTGGGTGTTAAGGCCAATGGAATGGGAAGGAGAGGGAATTCAGAAGTGGATAAGCCTGGATGACTTTGGTCAGATGTCCAGAAAGAGGGTCTCGAAGGAGGAAGGCAGAGAAAAGTGGGGGCAAAGACATAATTTTCAAGTTAAAATAATTTAATCTGTGTTGACTTAAAACTAATAAACGTTCCAGAAAAGATATTTCCACAGTTTATTCTTCTCATATCCTTCCTCACCTTTCCACCCCTCATCCCCCTACTCACATTAGGCATGTCCTCAGTCCTTAGAAACCGGAGCACCTTAAGCAGGTGTTTCTGAGCTGGCCTGGGGACCAAGGCACCTGCTCTAACATTGTTCCAGTGAGAAGGTGCACTCCGCGTTTCAAACCTCCAAGCTGCAGACAGGCACAGTAGTGCACACACTTCTCAGCAGAATCTGTCTGAATTCAGGGGCCCTGACTCCTGGACTCCAGAACTTAAAGTTCTTGGTAAAGACCCAACGTGCACCCATAAGACCGCTGCTCTTTTACACACAAATTCAGAAAACCCGCAGCTTCAAAATGACAAACCCTAACACCAAAATGACACTCTTAGAATTGTATGGCACAATGTTTTCGGTATGCTTTGCATATTTATTTTTGAATGAACATTTTTTTGAAATTTTCAATTAACCTCATGTGAATAGAGGTAAACATGGATATCCTTAAACCACGTTCATAGATAAGAAAATTGATGTTCACCTCCTGGGTTCTCACCAGCCAGCTGGTGGGATCCAGCCTCCACTCCGCAGAGCTGCAGGGAGAGGCCCGGGCGCCACACCCTTTTCTGCGCTCAGTCCCTGACTCACTGTGCATCCTGGTGACACCCCTCCCCACAGGGCACGGGCCACTGCCTCCCCGCTTCAAAGTGGGCAACCAAGTGGGAACTCTCCAGATCTAGGGAATCAGCTGCTCCTCTTACAGGATAATAGACGAAGGAGAAGGAGCTGAGGTTTTGTGTGTGTGTGTGTGTGTGTGTGTGTGTGTGTGTTTCCATTTTGCTTTGTTTTATTGGGGAGAGGGGTTTGCTACTAGAAATTCCCACCCCTCATCCCGCCCCCACGGCTTCCCTCCCGCCGGTCGGTTCAAGTTCCACAAATGAGCGTTTGTTTCAAGTAAAGTAACTTGGGACCGAGGGGGACTACTTTCTCGGTTGCCAGAGAGCTTCCCTTAGACGCGGAGGTGAATGCCCCGCGGACTGCTCCGCTGGGGACCTGCGACTCCCTCCCAGGGCGGCCACACCCTAACCCCCACCTTGCCCGGAACCGGGGGGGCCTCCCTCCGCACCCCACTCCTGCGCCGCCTCCCCGGGCTTCCTGAGAGCACTTCGGAGGCGAATGCACGACCCGATCTCTCTGCCCCGCACCCCCAACGCCAGGGCACCCCGGACCCCCACTCCAGTCCGGACACCCCAGGCCACTGCGCCCCGCTCCCCCACAGAACCCCCGTGGGGACTGTCCCGCCGCTCCTCCGCCGGACGGCCTACAGGGTCCCGGTCCCCCGAGCCTCTGGGCCAGGCCGCCTCCTCCTGCCCGGCCTCCCCGCGCCCCGCTAGTCCTGCGGGCCCCGGGCCATAGCGGACGGCAGGGCGCGCCCCGCTTACCTGGGCGGGCGCCGCGAGCTGCGAGTGTCCCCGGGAGCCGAGCTTGGCCGCCTGGCCTGGGTGGGGCATTTATAGCGGCCACATCCTCACTCCGCAGCCAGGCCCGCCCCGCCCGCCGGCCCGCCCCGCCCCGCGCCCCTCCCGCCTGTCCTCTCCCACCCGGAGCCGGGCTGACTCACCCTCCCCGCCCGCCGGGAGGGCAGCCGCGCCCTGGAGCTCCCTGCCCGCCACGCTGGAGCGGCCCCGCCAGGCCCTGCCCTCCCCAGCGAGGCGCCGCGCCCCGAGGCTTCCTCGACGGCCCTGGTCTCCCCCCTTCGTCCTCCTCGCTCTGCTGGCGTCCTCAGCCCCGGTTTTGATGAATACGTGAACAAGACTTTAGAAGACGCTGAGCTTAGTGAAGTAACTTTTTCCCCTTTTGGCGTCAGTGCAATGGAAGGAAAAATGGTTCCAAGAAACATAAGTCGTGATTCCCCTGAGCTGGGGCCTTTGGCAGCCAGCTCCCCGTTACCGTCTGCAAACATGTTAGCTTAACCTCTGGCGAGCCGTTCCCGGAGGAGCGCGGGGAGAGCGATCCTTTGGACCCCGCCCTGACAAGACTCCGAGCACACCGGGAGGCCAGAGCTGATATTTGGGGGAGTGAGCGGGGGGTGCAGAAGCCTAGAGCCAAGATCCCAGGCCCCTCCGCCCCTGGGAGGCGCCTTTTCCTGGGAGACCTCTGCTCTGCTCTCCCAGTCTGTGGGCCTCGCTCCCCCCTAACCCCCCCCCCCCCCCCCCATCACCACTCAGCTCCCCCACGCGTCCTCCTGGCAGGCCTTCCCAGGCTGGGTGGGGCGGGGCTTTGGACCTGGATTTCCAACAAAGAAGGTTCCTCCGCTCCTGCTTTCGCAACTGTCTTCTTTTCACAGCCATTAGCCAGCTCCCTCCCTTGGTGTTGCTCAGTCTCTCTCACTTGTCTTCTCTGCTGCTTTGCTTCCACAGGCCTCAGGGGCAACACGTAAGCAAACATGGTTTTGTGTGACTGCGCAAATACTGGGGTCCAACAAGCATAATCGTTTTGCTAAGAATTCCTGCTTCTTTGGATTCCCTCCTTTCACACTCACTTCATGCAGCTCTTTCTCCTGGTCTTAATGCTTTTGTGTTTTAATCTCCCACCTACCTTTAAAAAAATATTTCTATTGATATTAGAGAGAAAGGAAGGGAGAGGGGGAGATAGAAACATCAATAATAAAGAATCATGGATTGGCTGCCTCCTGCAGACCCTCTATTGGGGATAGAGCCCACAACCAGCACACGCCCTAACTGGGAATCAAACAGTTCAGTGGTCGGCAAACTTAGTCAACAGAGCCAAATATCAACAGTACTACAATTGAAATTTCTTTTGAGAGCCAAATTTTTTAAACTTAAACTTCTTCTAACACCACTTTTTCAAAACAGACTCACCCAGGCCGTGGTATTTTGTGGAAGAGCCACACTCAGGGGCTAAAGAGTCACACGTGGCTCGAAAGCTGCAGTTTGTCGACCACGGTCCTAGTTCATGGGTCAATGCCCAACCACTGGGCCATACCAGCTGGGCTCGCCCATCTATCTTAACATTCATTTTCACTTTCCAATTGCGCATCATTTCACTCCTGGGAATCTAAAGTGATAGCAAAGCCAAAAGACATGGATGGCCATGCCACTTAGCTGCAAAGTCCAGACTGCAAATGGGGTCTCAGGTCACTTAACCCAGAGCTCCTTGCAACCCTGTTCTTTCACTTGGGATGATCCATGATAAACCCTACCAGAAGGACAAATAGAAAGTAATTTTGATACAATTTCTGATTTACATTTATAGCTCTTCAATTTAAGTCATAAGCCTTCCAGGACAGAAACTGCCTACTTCTATAAACATTCTGGGACAGACAGTCATGGTTGGACAGGATTCCACCACCTTTCTCTACTCCTCTAGGCAGACTGCAGAGCCTCTTACTCAAATTGTGCAGAAGATAAGATCTAAGTCAAATCATGTGGAATACTTGAAAGCCACCATGTACACATAAAAGTGTTTCTGTGTATCTTAGGCACCCAGCAAATCCAAACAGATCTTTGCAGTGGCCAGACTTTGCTTCATGCTACGGAACATACACTAATGTTATTATAAAAATGAAGCAATTAGAAGTCATGGTTTAGAATTAAGGGAGATATCTGGGGCCAATTATGCTAATGTAAAAGAATTTGGCCTGGCCGGTTTGGCTAAGTAGGGTCTGGAGCAGGGGTCCTCAAACTTTTTAAAGTGGGGGCCAGATCACGGTCCCTCAGAGAGCTGGAGGGCCGGACTATATGAACTACTAATTCCTACTGTAACACCTTGGCTGCGCTCACTGCCCAAAAAACCTGGCGGGCCGGATCAGACTCCTCTGCGGGCCGCATGTGGCCCGCTGGCCGGCTGTAGTTTGAAGACCCCTGGTGGAGGATGGAAAGTAGCTTCACTCATTTGTCTGGGCCTCAGCTGGAGTTCTTAGAATGGCTGAGAGCCGCCTGGATCTTTTTCTTCTCTGACCTCTCATCCTCTAGGTCCTCCTCTCTCTCTGTACCAGGGTAGTTAGTAATGGCAGCTGGCTTTCCAAAAGCAAAAGCTATCAGTGCTCTTTGCTTGGAGACCATATAAATATAGCCAACAGGCTGGATTGGCACTGTGGGCTCCAGTTTGCTGATCTTTGCTTTAATTCATTGTCTGATCAGATTTTGGCTTTGCCCTCTGGAGTCTTGGCTCCAGTCTCTGAGATAGTATTTCCTTTTCCTTACAACTGGCCCTGGTTTGTAGCTGGGTAGCTCTCTGCTTCATGCCAGTAGAAACTCAAATATCCAGAAATCTTTTTAAATTTTGAACTTTTTTTCTGTCCAAGATAGCAGGTCCTTAATTAAAACAATTTTCTTTAAAACGATGTGGACTTTCTATAAATCTTATTAAGCTTCACTCCATGCTCTAAAATTCATGTCCAATACAATTTTCTCAGAAATCCTGGATCTTCCGTAAATCTTATTGAGGTTTACTCCATGCTCAAAAGTCCACATTCATTAATTTTTCTGAAAGCAGACCTCTCTCTACTTTGTACGTATTTGGCTGTAATTGAACAATGCATGTAAGATTCACAAAAGCTCTGAAATCATCTTCAAAGTAATATTAAATCTTTCTGAAATCTCAATAATAAAAAGTTTTGTGGCCACACAGGATCTGATCTTTTCCCTGAGGCTATACTTACTTTGTAAATTTCCACTTATTTGTAAATCTTTCACTGGGTAGAATTCTGCTTGAAAACCAATCATATCATTGGTAATTTTTTTTCTTGTTGTATTTTAGCATAAGCAGCTAAAAGACCATTGGCACTTTAAACGTTCTGAAAATCCCCTTGGCTAGCAGTTCATTGGGCATATTTTCTATTCTTCATGTTACCATAGGCAGCAGTATTGTTGAACATTCTGCCAATACACAACCTAGGTTGCCTTTTACCCAACCTCCCATAGCAATTTCCTCTTCACTCTTCCAACCTCCACCAACAGTCTTCTCTCTGCTATGACTGCCTGGCAGTAAAGTCAGTGTCACATATTTTAGGTTTTTGTTACAGGAACAGTCACTCCACATACTAATTTCTATTCCAGTTATCTGTTTCCTGAAACAAACCAGCTCCAAATCTTAAAGGCTGAGAACAACCATCAGTTATTTGTTCATGACTTTACAAAGGGCAGAGTTCACTGGGTCAGCTCTTCTCTGGTCCAGTTAGCGTTGGCCAGGAAGACCCAGATGAGGCTAGAAGACCCAAAGGGGCCTCTCTCCAGCTGCCAGTTGCTGGTTTTCAAGAGTGAAAGTACAAGCTGCAGGCACAGAACTGGAACAGTGTCACTTCCACTGAAATTTATTGGTCAAAGCAAGTCATATAACCCAGACTCCAGGGAAGGGGAACTAGATCCCACCTCTTCATACAGGGAGTGACATGTGAGCATACTAGCAGATGGAAGGAATTGTTGGCAACCACCTTTGTAGACAATCCACTACAATCCTTAAACTAGTATAGTAAGTGGTAGAACTTTTGTGGCCACTTTTGTGGAGTATATTTTTCTGCCTTTCAATACATTGCTTTTTCCATTACACCATATTTCTCACATGTCACCAATGCTTCAGGGAGACACAATTACCTCCAAGTCTTCTACCTTCTATGCGTTAGATTCTCAGTAACCACCAAGTTGTTATTTCCTTGAGCCTTGTTATATGCAATCAGTATATAATAATGTCTGGTACTTGAAATTGTGGCCAGAAGAGGAACAAAAAAATCTGGATAATCCAACAACCAAATCATAAGCATTCTAGCAAAAAAGAATAGGCAAAATGGAAGGGGAGAAAATCATCATGAAATAATTAAAGAAAATTTTCTAGAACTCAAGGCTATGAGTTTTTAGATTGAAGAAAAAGCCACAATAAATAGAAAACAGTCCCAAGGCAGATTATCATGAAAGTTTAGAATACTGGGTGTGGACAGGGGCAAGGTCCTGAAAGATTCCAGAGAGAGATGAAAAAATAGTCTTATATGAAGGGTAAGAAATAGGAATGATATTATACTCAATATTTAGATCCTGGTTTCTAAATCTTATTCCCAGCAAATGAGTCAGTTCTCTTTGGAGAAGCAGCTGGCCTCAGAGATCAGACAGAAAAGACATGGTGAGCTTTGTGCTAAACAACTGATGGGAACATGTGGAAAAGGCACAAAAGCCAATTTGAAGGGGCTCTCATGGGTTAAAATTTGGAATAATTTAGCATTGGATAATAATAGGAATTGATTATATCATAGTGACTAGTCTAAACTGATAGTAAAAAAAAAAAATACACAAAAAGATGGGATAGGGAAAGCTCTTATTCGCAAAATAATGCCAACGTTTACCGTTTACCTGTATCTGAAAAGATAATCATTACTTTGCAAGTAGATTCCATTTCTAACCAAACTATAAACCAAGAATGAATACATAATAAATATGTCTCAAAGATGCTGTTTATGCCAGGATGCCCTGTATTGATTTCTTGGAGCTGCCATAACAAATG